GGAACGGAGGGAGTACTAGGGACAATATCAATTTGTATTAATGTCTTTAAACATGTTTGTCTTTGTATTTATTTGCTTTAAGGGATAAGGGATAACATGCTTAATGGGAGGATATGGATTCATTAAACTAACTTGGAGTAGAAGCATTGGTCTTCTTTCCTTATTTTCTTATTTCGCCCTTAATTATTACCACTCCCGGAGCACATCTCAACTCGCAAAGACGTACAATTGGTGAGTCTTGCCGGCGAACTACAGCGTGGAAGTTCGAATTTTGGACATATGCGTCTCTTTGAAATTAGCCTCTTGTAGATGAGACCGGTAGTGACAAAAATCATTGTTGAAACAATAGACTTGGGCCCAATTCAATCCCAAAAGTTAACTCAAGAGGTTGAGGTACCCAATCTATTAAATAGCAGCACAATATAAGGATGCATAGCCGATGTGGGATGAACAAGTCAACACGCCCCCCTCACACGAGGCGCAGATTACTGCGGGCGTGGTCCCAACATCAATGGCTTAGCTCCGATACCATGTTGAAAACAATAGACTTGGGCCCAATTCAACCTCAAAAGTTAACTCAAGAGATTGAGGTACCCAAGCTATTAAATAGCAGCACAATATAAGGATGCATAGCCGATGTGGGATGAACAAGTCAACAATCATGCTGTCTGTCCCTGATCAATTCAGGCACACCCCGGGATTCACCTCCTTCACCAAGCCTTGTTGTTGGGTCCCACTTTCTTTTTAATTTTACCCCTACCTTTTTTTAGTTAGAATGTAAATTGATTGATAAATTAATAATAAATAAATATGATTTGATATACTGTATGTTTTCATTTACTCCGTATAAAAGCTACTATCTCTGTCTCTGACTATTTATCCAGTTTTGACTCTTTTCAATCAACCGTTTTCAGCATTTGATATATTATTATTGTATATTAGTTTGATAAAATAATACTCCCTCCGTCCCACTGTGTTTGTCCACTTACCTTTTGGCACACCATCCAATGCACTTCTTTAATTCATTTTATCTTGTAATTTGTATATTAAAAAATTATAGAAATTATATATTAATGATCTATATGTTAAGACGAATCAAACAAGATCACACATGACTATTTTTAGGCTTACACATTAAGAGAATTTGATGAGTCAAAGTGCTTAGATGAACAATTCAAAAAGTCAAATGTGGACAAAGACAATGAGACGGAGGTAGTATATTGAAACTATTTCATATAATAAATATAATAAAATTATTTTTATATCAATATCTAATAAAGTATCATTTTTATTTAATTTTATGTCAAAATTTACCAATTTTAACTGTAAAACATCAAAAATAGAAAAAATACACAGACAGAGGGGTAATCCCTAATTCTTTATCTTATCTTATACTCCGTACTACGTACATAAAATCCCAATCCTACCCTTTTCTTTCACAATATCAATTCTCGTAACCCACCTAATTGGAAGAGATGAGTATATATATATACCGTACCTGAGAAAGTGTATCAAAAGAAAATGGAAAATCCTACTCAACAGTTCAAAGCCACAAGACTGCAACATTTGAATTTCTCTGGCCTACCAACCTCCATTCTCTTACTTGTGCATTTTTTTTTTCTAATTTTATTTTATTTTTAAAAAAAAAACAAAATGCAGCTCACAAGCCCTTAGAATCAGCTTGCTATATATGCAGAGATATAATGTCTGAAAGGGTTTAATTATAGGGTAGGAGGTCCTAAAAGAGCTTCTTTCTTAACAGATTCAGGGGCAGCAGCTGATGTCATTTGTGATGAGTAATGACCAGGAAGATAACACGTGTCCCAATTTGGATGCACTCTGACGTGTCATGCAACAACAAGTGAAGAAAGACACTAGGAATGTTGTTTCGAATTGAATTGTCTTCCTTTGTTTGGGGGGGTACTTGTTAATTAGAAGCCCTTTATCAGAATTGCTGGTTTTTGCAAAACCAGTCATTGGAAAAATGAGCAGTTTCCGGATTCCACGTTTCCACTAGAGCAAACCAATGGGTGCCAAATTGGAAATATGATAAATTATCTTTAATCCAACCACCATTTTTTTTTGAAGCAATGGCGCATCTGTTAACCAGACCCAAAGGCAAAATTTTATATGGGCAATTTGGGCATAAAATGACTCGGATCATATGGACATTCTTATGAGATTCATAAATATTCACTTGATATTAAGATAAAAAAGAAGTCTAAAATGACATCAGTGCGATTCGTGTCATTTTCTTATTAGACCAGGTCGTTTGTGACACCAGTGATATTAGTGTCATTTGCTTATGTCAAAGTATCAACTTAACCAAAAGCTCAAGCTTTTGATTGTGACCCTATAATGATTTTTATATATACTCTAACACGTCCCCTCACGTGCAGGTGTGACTTCTTTAAACCTTGCATGTGAAACTTTAATTTTTTTTAAACTACATGGCACTGATTTTTAAACTCGTGACCACTTGGTAATCAAGGCTCAAAAATGTAAAATAATAAAGAATGCTTTATTGCTTAAATAATAAGAGAGGAATACAAGAAAATGTACTCATATGTGGAGAAATGTATTCTAGAATCCTCCACATTAATGACTAACAATTTAATGTAATATATATAAAAATAACTCTAGCAATATAAGGTATCTACATAATTATAAGATACTGTATAATAATAAATATATTAAATGAGTAATATATTTAACATTTTCCCAACGTCGTAGGAGGTGAAGATTGAACGTTAACATTCTCCCAACCTCTCCATAATCGTGCGGAGAGGTAGATCAACAATTAGAGTAGGCTGAATGCATCCAAATTGAAAGAAAAGAAGATAGATTACCGAGAGAGAGATGCGTCGGCGCCGACGAGGAGAAGAGATGAGACGTTGCAAACAGACTCCTACTATTAATGTCGAAGATGGATGGAGAATGCTGACGTGCATTGGAGTCGTGCGTTACTAGTTTGGAGAAGAAGCTGAAGGAATGAGTGTTGTTGGGATGCCTATTCATTGAAGATCTACTGACTGAATAGACTGAGGTGACGATTTGATCTGAAATCAAGAAGAGGCAATGATAGAACTGGAGACGGATGGTTGTAGTTGACCAAGGGAGTTTTTTTGCTAGAGAGATTTAGGATGGGATTAGATCAAAGGAGGGACAAGTGGGGGTGATGCCGCTGTCGTCGAACAAATCATCGGCGACGGTGGTAGAATCGGAAATTATTTGGTCACCAAGAGCGTAAAGGCTTCGATACCATGCCAAGGAATTAACTCAACCAAAAGCTCAAGCTTGTGGTTGTGGTCGAATAATGATTTTTATATACTCTAATAGCTTATACCAATTCGTAGAAGAAGCTAAAAGGACACCGGTGATGTTGGGACACTAGTTCAGAATATCTTTTAACACACATAATATTTTTCATCCGATTTAGTCTTAACTTTCAAATATTTTGAAAATTTTAATTTTTCCCAAAAATTGATTTGAGGACATATTAGCAACATTTTGAACTTCCAAGATGTAACACATGATTATTTTTGGAGTTTAGTGTTTAAATCAATGTGGTTACAACGTTCTTATTATTTGAACTTGAATTTCTACCTAGGCAAATGATTACCCCACTTGGTAATCGATCACAATGTTTCAAGTCTTCAACTGTACCTTATTTCTTCTTCGTAGAGTTTGGGTGACCGATTACCTTCTGTAATTGATTGCATGCCCTTTATTTTTATAAAAAAATATTTTAAATCGTTACTAATCTTTCCCCCCCTATAATTACTCTTCTAAAAGATCATTTTTACTCACCAATTACTCTATTGTTCTCCTGATAATATTGTTTTCAATGCTTCCATTATTTCTCCTTTATTTTAAGTTATTTTTAAGAGAAAATCATTTAAGTTTGAGAGATTGTTTTCCATCCAATTAGAGATTTCGATAGTATTTTTATCCTCACTCTTCAAGAGAGATGTTGTCTTTATTTCTTCCTCTTTACTAGTAAGAAAGAGGTTCATTCTTGCTAGAGGTTTCCAAGATTAAGGAGTACTCTTGAGCTTGTGGTGGAGCTTGTGGTGAAGACTTGTGCGACTCAAGTCTTGTTGTTATACTTGAGGTTTATGTGTGTGACTCAAGTTCTCAATTTTTAAATGGTTTTTCAAGCCCTTGGAAAGAAGTAGAAATCTCGAGTGAGTCTCGCAGTGGCTAAACTAACCACGAAGTGGTGAACCTATATATATATATATATATATATATATAGGGGCTGGTTCAAGTGAGAATGCATCTTGGTGAAAGAAATAAGAATAAAATCTGGCCTTTGGATCTGATGCATTGTGCGGCTCAGATTGCATTCTGCACTCAAATTTTGAGATAGTGCATTTTCAAAGGATTATGATGCATTTCGACATGATGCATTTTCAAACCATCTTGGTGCACCTAATTTTGATGTAATCCTAACCCTTAGAACTCCCAATCTAATGCACCAGATTCATTCTTATTTCTTTCATTAGATTGCATTCTCACGTGAACCAATATATATATATATATATATATATCAATATTTTGATCTCTTTCCCTTGCTCTTTAATTTTCCTATGATTTATTTTTCATTTCACACACAACACAAAAAACATTGAGTCTAGATGTTTAACTATATTCATCTTCCTCTAGAGCTATCCACGTTTACTAACATGCCTTCCTATTTGGGCTTAGGTCAAAGCTTCATCGGGGTAGAAGGTCTTTCTTTCACCATACACCCCTCACTCTCCAAGCCTATTCTTGAGTAACTCAAGGGGAAGGGGAGTAGAACATTAGAACCGATAAACGTCGTACCACACACTCAGGACGCACTACTACAAAAATAGCTTTTAACAACGCACTTTTAACACCGGATATTTGTAAATCGGTGTGAAAAGCTTAAAAATTGAGTGTTGTACTGTACTTTTTTTTGAGGCGCTACACTCTTAGGTATTTTCACCAGTTTTGACTAACTGCTGTGTAAAGCTGCCCCAAATTTATTTCCCGTCTCCAAGTCTTGCCCTAGCTTTCTTTCTCTACACATCACTGTCCGCTAGCCTCTTTTCCAGCCGCTGCCAACAAACGCTGATCTGCCGATGACGATATCAGGTTTGCGCCTCCCCTTCCTTTTGGTAGTCATGCCTTCTTGTTCGTCCGCTTCTATTCAACCTCCGATTGAGGTATATGTTTCATTTCTATGCACAAGAGTCTTTCTTCAATTCTTTCCATTTCGAATCTAAATCTAAAAAAACAAAATTTTCTGCTATGGTTTTTTAGATTCGATCAGAACCCCATGATTTCAATTTCATGCACTGCATATACTAATTGGGTTCATTCCAAAATTGACGAGTCACGATATTCCACAATTGGGTATTTTATTTTGTTTCTCTATGCCTTCCATTTTTTGACTTCCACTTTTACACTATGTTTGGTTCAAGGATTTTGAAATGGAAAAGAAAAGAAAATGAGATGGAAAATAACATTTCTTGTTTGGATAGAGAGGAAAAGAAAAGAAAAGTGGAAGGAAAAGGAAATGAGAAAACAAAATATATTAAGAGGAGGAAAAATCAAATTCCTCCCATTTTGGTGAGAAAAATGAGAGAAAACCATTTTCTTTTCTTTTTCTTCCAAATTCCTTGAACCAAACATAGTGTTAAAGATACCTAAATTACTTTTAAATTTTAAATAAATGAAAGAATGAGCCACTTTTACTTTGGATGTTCTTTTTTTACTTCATAGGTTAATATGGTCATTTGGACTAAACATTCAATTAGTCTTAAGATGAAACTGAAATGTTTGAGCTGATTTGGGACTCCTGAAGATAGTATAATCGATTAATAGGCCAAAGATTTGATTTCTCCACCTTTACTGGTTTGTTTTCTTTTCTTGATAAGTTTCCTATATTCAATTTTGGAATTTTAGGATGGGACTAAAACTACCTTCATTAACAAACTGCGAAAGTTGTTTCTCAGGTTTCACAATTTCAATCCTCTATCCTAGATATGGTATTGCAGTTGAAGGCATGTGGTAGTTATTTTGTCAACTGAATTCTTTCTCTTTCTTTGTTGGATAGGATGATAATTAAGTAGAAAAAGTAGTTATGAGGTTACCTTTTTGTGGATGTGAAATACCTGTAATGAAGAACAAAAAGTCAAAGACAATATCATCCTCTATCCTTATGAGGTTACCTTTTTTGGGCAAAATACATATTCTTCATTGACTATACCTCGTTTCAATCCTAATCAAAACTATTATTCTGTATAAAAAGAAATTTTAGTTATAACGTGCTCTTTAAAAGAATTTTTTTTTATTAATTATCAGTCTATGATGCATGTTTGAACCATATGGGAATGGTTCAAATTACTCCACTAAATAGCTAGTACACGGAAAAGATCCTCCCATTGAACAGACTTTGCCCTGTAGTGTTGAAGATCTCTACAAGGGTACCACTAAGAAGATGAATATTGGTAGAGAGATTGCTGATGCTAGCGGGTAAGTTGTTGTTTTCATTATACCCCCTGTGTTCATAATCTCTTTGGAATTTTATTTTATGTTCATAGTTTTAGTGACGTGTCTGGTTTAGAATTTATAGATAATAATTTTTTATGATGTCTTATTTGAGGTTGGTCTGCACACTTTACTCTATAGCACTGCATTAAACAACTGGGAATTTGGGAAAATTCCTAAATGTTATTGAATAAATATATTAAATCAGTTGAATTTGCACTAGTTCATACAACCCAGCATCCCAAACATGCTTTTAGATTGTTTTGGTCAAAGAATTTTACATTAACAATCTTAGACCTAACAAATTTGGTTTATAATCATTTTGTTTTTGTTTTTGTAATACATTAGTGATCTGCATAAAGAAAATTAATTTTGTTTCATAATTGAAAATGCTATTTATGCTAGAAGTGTATGCACTTGATACCAATTTGATGAGCTCCATCTACCGATTCTTGCTTCCATAACGATATTGTCAGAAAAATAATGTCGGGTAGAAGATATCTTAATCATAAACATCAAGCCGGGCTAGAAGAAAGGTGCAAAGATGAGCTCTCAAGCATCACTCCATCAAATTTTATGTTCATAATGGACGAGAAACCTGACAAAGTCTTCACACGTGATGGGAATGATTTCTTATCTTTAATAGTCTAGTTGTTCTTCTCTTCATCTCCAATGTTTCACATTGTTGTTTCATTTTTCCTTGATTTTAATCATTAAATGATGAATGTTGAATATTTGTAGAGTTTATTCCTAGCAATTCATCTTTTGATGTACTCATTGATACATAACTCGGATTCTTGAGAAAAAACTATTGAAATTTATATTTTAAAATAATATTCCAGTATTTGTTTTTTGAAAAAAAATTAACTTTACACAGCGGATAAATATCCACTGTTATAAAGCATATCATTTTTAAGGTCTCATTACACAGCGGATAAATATCCGTTGTGTAATCATGCACGATTTTTCACTACCATTACACAGCGGATGAATATCCTTTGTGTAAACATAAAACCTTTCCCACCGGCCACATACATAGCGGTTGGATTCTGCTGGGAAAGATAAAATTTATCCGTTGTGTATTCTATGTTTTGTAGTAGTGACGAGTTCCTTGTGCATGAGCAATGACAAAAAATTTTAATGGTTATAAAGTGTGATATGATTGCAATAATTTTGCCTAGACGATCATGCAGCATTGACAACTTTTCTAGGAAATTAATTGGAAAGGAGGAGCACAAATAAATGTTGTGCCTAAGCTCAAAACCTTTTCCCTCTTAAAAGAATTTATGAGGAGCAAGAAAAAATATTTCAAAAAACAACACCAATAAACAAGATGATCCAAACACAAAATAAAGAATAGAAAACACGAGAGTTTGACATCAAAATACCTTTCAACTTGAAAGATTAAAAAACCATGAGACCCTTAGGTCTAACTAACTCCACTAGCAGCAAAAAAGAGTGCAAATGCACAATACAACACCATAACGATACCTAGAATTTAATAACACTATGAAGGCATTTGATTCAAAATAGAGGTACAAAGATGCAAGAACATACATCAATAAAATCAAGAGTATGATTGGAAGCTCATAATACAAGACCGTTGAAATTTGGTCTCCACCGTTCAGATTGATGTTTCACGAGTCCTATGGCTCTTAAAATTTTATCTCGATCAAAAAAAATTTGGACCTGCGATCCATAACAAAACCAGACCTGCATTTTTGGAAAAAAACAAGTGGCCACTCCCTCTTTTTTTATTGTTTTTTGCATGTGAAATAATGCATCCCACTCTTGATATTTTCCTTAATTTATCCTCACACTTAGTCAAAATGGGCTTGAAGGATTATCCTCCAAAGTTGGGCCTTTTAGTTAAAATGACACATAATTGGGAGTCCAATAATCCCAACAAATCTCTCCCCTCTCGACTACATGAAGGAAGTTGCCGAACATGCAAGCAAATGACAAACTTCGAACTTCCCTTTGGGAAAACTTTGGTCATCATATCAGAACCATTATCATCTATGTGAATCTTTTCAAACTCTAATAACTTGATATCAAACAGATCTCAAATCCAATGATAAACACATCTCTACTGCCCGTGGTTGTCTCCATACCCGCCACTGTCGCTGACCTCGTTGTCGTCACTTGAGACGTGCCACTACCGTCTCATGATGAATCTCAAATGCTCATAGCCACCGCCAAGACACCATGGCTGCCCGGATCCGATACCATAGCCCGAGCGCGGGATAGCATCGTGCAATGTACTACGACTATTCGAACTCGTAGCCGCCTCCACCATCACTGTCGATTCTGCTCGTCATTACCCATAAACATCGCTTGGGTCCATTCTTAAGAAGATTATTCTTGGCTAAGCAATTAAGTCCATTCTCACTGATGTGATTGAGTCTTTTATGCCATAAATCCGAACAAATATCACTCTAACCTACCTTGATAGAATCAATACAGAATGAATCTTTAGTCTAGTATAAACCTAAACATTTCTTCCCACGAGCCACAATAAGAGAACTTTTAGTGAGTCTTCATTGTCCATCACCAATGGTCTCGACATAGCCTTCATCATTCAAGGCGCTAGTATGTATGAGATTCAAGCGAATATCAAGTGCATGTTTGACGTTCTTCAACACTAACTTCATCTCAGTTTTACTTTCCAACACAATAACTTCAATGCCAATAACCTTTGAACAATCAATTATCATTACCCATCTTTAATACCCCACAATCACCTAAACTATAAAATGTGAAGAAATTCTTTCTTAACGTCACATTGAAAGAGGCACCACTCTCAATAACCCAACTTGATTCTTCAAGGGAAACATTAGTCAACTTACTATCGCAAATGACTATCAAAACCCTTGAAGTTTTGGTTGCAACGTGGCGATCATTTTAACTATCTTTTCCTTCTTGCTTGCTCTTATCTTTGTTCTTCAACTTAAACTAATTTTTCATCAAATGCCCCATTTTATGACAGTAATAGCATTCAATATTTTTGTATTTTAATTTGGGCTTACTCTTGCTATGCCTTTTTATATTCTCCTTGATCTTTATCCTTGTTTCTCCCCTTATATTCAGCAATCAAGACATTAGATTTTGAAGTTGATATCTCATAAGTCATATGCCTTATAACATCCTTCACATTCTCCATGTTTACTGTGCCACCACGAGCATATCTTTTCAAAGACACCTGAAGATTTTCCCAAGAATCAAACAACTAATCTCATCTTCACGTTTTACAACCATGTCTGAAGACTAATCACAGCACCATTGAAATTCATTGAAGTGGTCAGAAATAAAACAACCTTCCTTAAATCTAAGATTCATTGTCAGCCTTAGCAAGAACAACTTATTATTCCTTGTTTTTGATATATATAAGGATTCAAGCTTTTCTCACAAAGTTCTAGCATGGGATTCGTTATAGATGTGATTCAAAACTTTATCATCAACCCATTTTTGAATAAAACTACAGACTATCTGATGTTCAAAAGCCCATTGTTTGCCGCTTTTAATTTAGACTCTGACTTTTGAGTAGCAAACACTGGTAAATGTAGCTTTTCAAAAAAGACAAATCCTTCATTTTACCTTCCATTTGTGATAGTTTTTTCCAATTGAACTTATAATACTAGTGTAGTTTGGATCCATCATTCAACCTAGAAAAATAATAGATAACTCTAACGCTCCAATACCACTTGTTGGAAAAAGAAGAACATCAAATAAGTATCTTGCCCAAGTTCAGCACTTTTACCTCTTGAAAGAATCTGTGTGGAGAAACAAACAAATATTCTAAAGAACAACACCAAGCAACAAGATTTTCCAAATAAAAAAATAAACGATATGAGACACATGATTTTAACGTGGAAACCCATGTTAATGTGAAAGAGTAAAAAACAATGAGACCCTTCTATCTAACTAGTTACACTAGCATTAGAAGAGAGTACAAATGCACAATACAACAACAACAAAATGATATCTATCCTTTAATAACACTACAAAGACACTAGATTCAAAATAGAGCTACAAAGATGAGAAAATATCAAAAAAAAATCAACAGTCCTGAAGCTCATAACACAAGATCTAAGCATTGGAATGTGATCTCCACCATTCACATTGATGCTTCACGAGTTCCCTGACTCTTAAAATTTCATCTTGATCGGATACGATTTGAATCTCCCATCCACAACATAACATGACCTGCATTTTTGGAATAAAACTAGCACCCACGTGCACTCCCTCTTTTTTGTTCTTTTTGCTGCCTTAATTTGCCCTCTCAACTTGATAAAATGGGCTTGATGACTTATCCTCCAAAATTAGGCCTTATACTTTAAATAACACATAGTTGGGAGCCCAAGAATCCTAACAGAAATAGTATAGCCGCACACATTATATCGAAATCTAAAATGGTAGATGATGAATCACTGAATACATGTAATGTCAACACCCATCATTATTGTGTTGGAAACCGTGTCACTACCACTTATGCTTCGTCACATAAGTACTAAAGGAGGAGCCCATTTTTCTCTTTTTAACGAGAGAATGAACTATCACGCATCAAACCTTTGTCTAAATTGCCATAAACAATTAGCAATCAATTTGGGTCTAGTTTGAATTTGTTTAGTTCAGGTATATTTCAAATATATGTTATAATTAATTTGGGTATGATTCAGATGTATGTTAGAATTCGTTTAGGTTTAATTTAATTCGTTGTATTTTCGGTTTCAATTTGGTTCAGATACAGTTTGGCTACATATCAATTTTTGAGTAGATTTTGATTTGGGTTTATTTTAGTTTGGATAACTATTATAGTACTCTATAGTTACATGGTTAGGTGTATAAATGGATAACCAAAAGTTTAATTACTGTATGTACTAGTATACACAATTCTATATTTAGAAAATATTCATGTAAACACATATAAATCTTTTGTGTTGTATGAAGTATATATAAACTGGATTCGATTATAATCAGATTTGGGTTCAATTAATTTAGGGTCAGATCGCTTTCACATATGATCATTTTTTATTCTGATTGGTTCAAATGTAGTTGGTTTTGGTTATAATTTGGTTCAGAGAATATTCAGTTTAATTTTGGTTCACACTAGATCTTTTTGCTTTGCAATTATAGATCGAATATTCGGTTTTCGGGTCATTTCAGTTATTTCGGGTAATTGATTCAATTTTTTGTAAGATCCTGCACCAAAGGTCAAATATTTCAAAATTATTTCTATCAAAGGTAAAGGTATAAATTACGAATTAGGGATTAAAATATTGACATTGTGTGCTTGTCTTGCTAAATATAAAAATAGACTTAAAGTGTACACCTTTTAGATAAATATTTAATTTATATAAGGATGACAAACAACGGTCTCGTTCCGTGATCACTGGATTTCAGTGGCCACGGAAGCCACCGTCCTAATTCACACACCTACGATGCTCTATTCATAAAATTGATGATTCATATCCCTCTTAGTTTCCCGGTAAACCCTCCTAACTATTCTTGGCCGCAACTCATCCCCCACCTATGTCAATTGCACCCCACAATTTTAGATGACTTTGGGGTCAAAACTTTAGACTTTAAAGTCAACTATACTTGCGGGGTGCAATTGATGTAGGTGGGAGGATGATTTATGCATATATGGTCGGGACTGGGCAGGGGGCTTACTGTTGGGGGGGGGGGGGGGGTTAGAAGGGGTAACAATAATCAATTTTATGAACGGAGCATCATAGGGGGACAGTGGCTTCCATGGCCACTGAACCCTGCGAGACAAACAATACAAGTTGATGGATTAGGGATTTTTCCTAATCCAATAT